TGGTGATATAATATTTTCTATCACTAATATGGTGGAATAGTCCCGCCTTCTGAATAAAACAGCCAATCTCTGATCGGTAAAGTCATTGCGTCACTGCAGCTGCCGTTAGAACAGAGATTGTCTTACTATTGGGAGATGAGAGGGTCTGTATTACTTACTATTGGAGAAATGGTATTATTATAGATGCTGCATATTTCTGATGGACAGTTGGATAATAAACAATCTGACAAGGTAGAAACCCTTATTGAATCAGAAAAAGCAGATGGATCCACAGAACAGATTTTACGATAAGTGAGCATTTTTTTCACAGGCGATGTAAAAATTGGAAAACTAAAACTGAAGTTAAAGAAATTAATACTTTTTTTTATCAGAAAGGGCTCGTTAAATTGAGCAAAACTGAGAGTAAAATCATATAAAGTTACAAAAGATTTATATTCCAAATAAATGCGTTTCTTTTGAACTTTCTATTCATCAAAGAATTCTGTAAAATTTATTTTGTGGTTTTCTCTAAAATATTGAAATATCAAATAAATGCAGCTTTGCTGAGTGTACGACTTCTTTACTGACCCAAACTTGGTAATGTATTTAGACAAAATAGTACAGATTCTTAATAAGTCGTTTATCAATTATTGGCCATTACATAAAAATAATTCAGCTTATTTTTGGCCAAAATTTTACTCTCTGTATCCATATCTTAAATGAAGGGAGGATTGTGTACACTGTAAAAAAAAAAAAACGCAGCTTAAAAAATGGTCAAATGACTGGTAGTAGCTGGCTGCCAAACAAAAACAGTAAAATTAAAGTAAAATATCATAATTGAAACAAGGAAAAATCTGTAAAATAAGTTTTTTTTCTGTAAAACCTTTAATGAAAATTTCCGTAAAAAAAATGTTTTTGCACTTTATTTCAATTAAGATATTTTACTGTAATTTTATGGTTTTTGTTTGGTAGCCGTAGCTGCCAGTCATTTGACCGTTGTTTTTACTATATAATTTTTTTTTTTTCTTTTTCTTTTTTTTTACAGTGTAGAATATCAATGTTTAGGCAATGTTTTATCTAACCGCACAAGACAGTCTCATTCTGGACATACTGAATTCTGCTGTACTGCATGTTTATTAGATATGAGCGCACGTTCACATCCTTTTCATGATAAAAATGTCTAGGCTGATGCTTTCCATAGAATAACTGTTGAATAAATGTGAAGGGGTTTTGAGAGCTGTTTCTATAGAACTGGACCCTGGGGGTTAACAGACCAGGTTTTTGTTTGGCAGCCGTAGCTGCCAGTCATTTGACCGTTGTTTTTACTATATAATTTTTTTTTTTCTTTTTCTTTTTTTTTACAGTGTAGAATATCAATGTTTAGGCAATGTTTTATCTAACCGCACAAGACAGTCTCATTCTGGACATACTGAATTCTGCTGTACTGCATGTTTATTAGATATGAGCGCACGTTCACATCCTTTTCATGATAAAAATGTCTAGGCTGATGCTTTCCATAGAATAACTGTTGAATAAATGTGAAGGGGTTTTGAGAGCTGTTTCTATAGAACTGGACCCTGGGGGTTAACAGACCACTTTCTGTAGAAATGGCCTCTGACTGACCTATAATAAAATTTCCATAAAGTCGTTAAAAGACCCTGGAGAAAGAGAGATGGTTATCAGATATTAGACCAGTAATCTTTACGCCTCTGAACCTGTCAGTCATTCACCATGAAATGACCATTTCATAGTGTGATCATCAGAATGGGAGTTCAAACAGCTAATAAAAACATCACAATAATCCACAAGTGCACACACTTCAGTCCATCAATTGTCTTGGGAAGCAAAAAGCGGCATGTTTGTAAGACACAAATCCATCAAGGTGATTTTGAAATCCATCCCTTGTTGTCCTCTCATATCAAAATCCACCAAAATATTTGTTGAGAACTGTTTTCGCTTGTAAACTGATCTGTGCATATTTCTCTCCTCAGTCAGACAAGACCACTTTTTCAGTATAGAAAGCAATATTATGGATAGAGGACTCGTTTGAAGTTAAAAACATCTTGATGGATTTGTTTCTTACAAGCAAGCAGATTTTCACTTCACAGGACATTAAATGATGGACTGGAGTCCTGTGGGTTACTTGTGGATTATTGTGATGTTTTTATCAGTTGTTTAAATTCTCATTCTGACGGCACCCATTCACTGTAGAGGATCCGTTGTTGGGAAAGTGATGTAATGCTAAATTTCTCCAAAACTGTTCAGATGAAGAAACAAACTCATTTACATATTAGCTGGCCTGAGAGTTAATAAATTGTCATAAAATTTTCTTTTTTGGGTGAACTAGTCCTCTAATGCATCGTATAACCTCCTGGCTGAGAAGCACTGCCCTAAACATCTAATTAGTATTCTTGACTTTCTTACACTTTCTGCATATTGAACTGTCTTTTATTCCCAACACCTTTAATGCTTAAAACCTGAGCTTACCTAAAACTTTAACACTATTCTTTTGCTGCCTTCAGGTGATGCGAGTTCAAATGTGCTGAGCAGTCACAGTAGTTCATGCTGAGTGAGAATGGGTTGCATTACTATGGCCGGTTGATCAGGCCGTGCTGGTGTCACTGTGTGAGATCATGTGACTAGGCGAGTGGCAGGAACTGATAACATCTGCTGAATGAACATGTCTAGGGGCAGCAGTTGGTGACCTCAAGGCTAATAGGGTAACACTGAGACAGGGACATGTTTTGTGTACCTCCCCTACACACATCTACACATCCGTATGCAGAACATAAGGTCATCAGCACATTTTCTTTGATTGAGGCATAGACATACACTTACCTTTAGACTGTCTTCCTATCTTTAAAAAAATCAGGCATGGTCATAAAATTCAAGCAGTGTGTACTGTAAATGATGGCATCCAGTGTACTTTGTATGTTCTGTTACTGTATTTAGCCTAAATGTTCCGGTGTTTTATTTAGATGGCATAATAAATTATTTAAGAATGTTCCTTCATGACTTCATGAGTATGAGAGCAATAGGAAATGGCCCAAGGATTTTTTTCCAAATGTATTTCATGCCATAAACATAATTGGAAAAACCAATGATGTTTGGAAAACTCCTTTCTATTTCTCATTAAATATGCTTTTTAAAATCTGTTTCTTTGATATAACTGAACTTAAATAGGTTAAACTGGACAGTTGTAGTGCAGACAGAGTCTCCTGTAGTCTATCTGTCGACTGAGGTCTGGATATTCTGGAAAAGCATTTATGATTACATAACTTTAATTAACTTTAATCAAAAGTAACAGTAAATATATTTATATGTTACAAAAGAATTCTGTTTCTAATAAATTCTGTTCTTTTGAACTTTCTAATCATCAAAGAATCCTGAAAAAGTGTATTATGGTTTCCACAAAAATCTTAAGCAGCACAATTGTTTTCAACACTGATAATAATAATAAATGTTTCACCAAATCAGAATGTTAGAATGATTTCTGAAGGATCATGTGGCCATTTTTACTTTTTTTTTTTTTTTTTTTATCAAATAAATGCAGCCTTGGTGAACATAAGAGACTTCTTTCAAAAACATTAAGTTGTCTCACTGACCCTAAACGTTTGAACTGTAGTGTACATTCATAGAATGTTCAGCTTTCAAAATCTAATATCATTGTAATATTTGCATGTTAAATTGCAATTGCACTTCTTTCTTACATCTTCTTGCATTTTTTTTTGATTAGCTATAACTTGAATAGCTTACACTGGATATTTGTAGTGCAGACTGTCTGTCGACTGGCATCTGGATATTACGGAAGTGCATTTGTGATTATGTAATCTTTTCACATAGAGAGCACTGTAACACTGTCCTGTTTTTGTAAGTGTGTGACACCATGCCACTGCCAAACTTCCTCAAGCCAGGTAAAGTAGGACATGTCCCATGTGAAAAAATGTTTTGTAACCTAAAACACCACCAGAGGAAAAAATGCTGCAATATTTCCTCTTCCTTTACCCATAAGTCAGTAAAATAAACTTTTTGTCTCTTTTGTTACAGTGTTTTTGAGTCACAATAGATGGTGTTTACTAACTCATTGTGGTATTCATGAGGTATTCCAGTTCAGAGAATGCGGGAACATGGAAATGGATAATACATTACAGGAACTTTTGAATTTGCTATACTTACGTCGGTTTGGGTTCACCTGACCCTGATTAGAGATGCGCTTCTTATGGCATAGAACATGTTCTTGCAGTTCAAATTAAACATAATTTAAAAGAAGAAGAAGAAGAAAAAACATGCAAAAAAAAAAGAAAAAAAATCTAAACATTTTGACCTTCATGACCCATCCCTGCTTTGAACAGAGAGCTATTCATTTACCTTATCCTGTCAGACTGGCTTATTAAACCAAAAAACAATCTAAACGTAGATTTACTGTAGGTCTTCAGGGTAGATTTGTATTAGTGGCATAAAGTACATATCAAATGTAAGCAAGGCATGACTGATGCATATTAAACAGGACTGTAATATTATAATGAATCCAATTGTGGATGCTAGTAGCCAAGCTCAAGACATAACTTGTTTTCCACAGTACAAGCACTTCAATTCCAGCATTACTTCAGTTCCTGAGAAGGTTTCGTCATTTTATCTGTGGAGCATTAAGAATAATTTGAGTGTATGTCAGTAACTATTGCACATAACCTTCAAGTTTGTGTCAGTAAGGATATCAGGGGTGTGGGACTGTAGAGGCCAGTACATAATGCCGAATACTGACTTTAGTGAACATTCCTTTTAACTGATAACAGTCCAGTCCGATGCTCTTATTGCGTAGACTTGTCTCGTGTGTTCATTTCTGTACATTTTTATTGTAACGATTCTGTTTGTTACTGTAAGGATGTTGATTTGACAAGTTCTGTTCTTTGATGCTGAGAAACTGGTGATGCACAAGGTGATGCTATGTTGTGGTGTGATTTTTTTTTATGATGTCTGTAGGTTTATAACGTTTTTATGTGTTTTTTGTTTTGTTTTTGCAGTTATATGGTTTCAAAAATGTCCTCTAAAATGGTGGGCTCAAACAACCTGGCACATGCTAGGAGGATGGTACAGCAACTGAGAGTCGAGGCCAGTATTGAGAGGATAAAGGTACATTTTCTTTTCCTTGCATCTTTAAAAGATCTTTCTTATGCTATATTATCACCAAATCTTGGATTCAATCTTTTTGGCAACTTGTTTTCTTTTAATTAGCACAGGTTTTATATTTCTTTTTGCTCGTAGGCCTCATTGTTCTGAGCTTATGCTCCTCAGTTGTTGAGTGAATGATGTATAGTATAGACACATTAAGGACATGTGAGTGTATGTGACTGTGATGTTGTGGTAGTGATATGAAGGCTACATCATTTTGGGGAAAAAATGGTAACGGTTATGCTACCTTCCAAAAGTTTGGGGTCAGTACGATTTAAAAAAAGAAATGATCATTGTTATTATTTCTATATATACATTAAATTGATCAAAATTACATTCATAATGTGAAAATATTTCAGTTGTAAATAAATGCTGCTCTTTTGAACTTTCTGTTTATCAAAATATTATTTATCCTTTAAAAATGTATCATGATTTCCATAAAAACATTGAGCAGCTGTTTAATCACTGGTAATTCAGATAGTTCTGTAATAATTTCCTCACCTTCAAGTTGTTCCAAACCTGTATGAATTTCTTTCTTCTGCTGAACGCAAACAAGGTATTTTTAAGAATATGGGTAACCAAATGGTTTCTGGTCCCCACTCATTTCCATAGTGTTTTTTTTTTCTCAAAACTATTGAAGTCGGGGGGGGGGACCAGAAACTCTTCAAGATATCTTCTTTTATGTTCAGCAGAAGAAAGAAACGCTTTTCAACTCTGAACTTTTCATTTTTGGGTGAACAGCATTTTCCAATTATTTCTGAAGCATCATAATGGCTGCTGAAAATTCAGTTTTGTTGTCACAGCAATAAGTTTACATTTTGAAATATATTTTTAAAGGGGTCGTATGATGCGATTTCAAGTTTTCCTTTATCTTTGGAGTGTTACAAGCTGCTTGTGAATAGATAAGATCCCTAAAGTTGCAAAGGCTAAAGTCTCAAACCCAAAGAGATATTCTTTATAAAAGTTAAGACTCATCCACGCCCTCCTAAAACGCTTCGTTTAAACACACCCCCACATCTACTTCACTGTGTGGGAAGATTTGCATAACACTGCCCAAATGTATATGCAAAGAAAACGCGAGTTTTGAGCAGTGTAGAGTACCACTTGTTTTTTGTAATTTCTCCGATCTCAAATGCAGACATGGTTTTATGTTTACACGGCGCGATGCAGTAAAAACTGGATGCAACAAATGCCTCGTTTATAATGGGTTTTAATGTTTTTGTCTCGTCGCTCTCGGACACATATGGTAAAGGGCGTAACATTTCTGTCACATGCTTGAGGTATTCAGCCAATCACAACGCACTATATAGCTGGCCAATCAGAGCACACCTCGCTTTTCAGAACGATGAGCTTTGTAAAAATCGACGCGTTTCAGAAAGACGGGGCATAGAGGAGAAACAATAATGTACAGTATGTGGAAAATAATGTTTTTTTTTTTTACCTTAAACCGCATAAACACATTTCATTACACCAAATACACAAAATAATGTTCTTTTTAGCAACATCATATGACCCCTTTAAATAGTCTGTTTACTTTAAATTATAATATTTCCTAATTTTACTGATTTACTGCATTAAAGGGTTAAACAAATAAAACCAAAACAAAACATGCAAGAACATTTTTCACATTCTAGCTCGTCTCATCCAGGTATCCAAGGCCTCAGCTGACCTCATGCGTTACTGTGGAGAAAACGCCAAATACGACCCCCTGCTCATGGGCATCCCTGCCTCAGAAAACCCCTTCAAGGACAAAAAGCCCTGCACTATATTGTAGTGTAACAAGCATTAATCTTATTTAATTACTTCTACTCAACTTTGTCTTAAGTTCAGCTCTTGCTTCTTAGTATAACTTTGTGCCATGTCTTAACTGTATTTAGCTCTTACAGTATTTATTACTGTAAATAAACTCCAATCAGTACTAATTAATTGCCATTTTGGTAATGATTAGAATCAAAACTCATCTTTACCAGCATCACTTATCTTATCCTATAAATCAAGCCGTTTAGATGTTTTAAAATGGCCATAAGTTCCTCTTTCCACCGAATGATGCCTTTAGTTACACTTTGTTTGAAATAGGGAAGTAGCACATCACATTATGATACAAGGAGCTTGCAACTACATTAACTGATTAAGTCTCACTTAACGTGTGTTATATATTCCTCTAGCAGTACATATGAATAATGTTTTATAGCAAAGGGACTGACTGAAATAAATGGAATTTAAAGATCCATATTTTGATTTGGATTATGAGTCTAATGTGATTTTGTTTTAGTGCATGCTGGGTAAATAAAACAATATAGTAAATCTCACATCCCACAAATACTGATTTGTTCTCAATTAAAGGTGCTACCACTATGCGCAAAACCATTAGAGACAAGTTACTGGTGTGGTTTATAGGAAAAGAGAACTGATTACCCTGCACTTTCAAACCCATGTGCCTTAGATTGTTCAAAGCAGTCCTCACTTATTACAGATATATACAAATAAAAAGATGACATGTTTTATCTGTTGACACTGAGTAACTTTTCTGTTCTGTTTAGATTTAAGGTGCCTTTTGCTTTTGAATTTGAGATTCACAACCAAATAACTGTGACCTCAGTATCTCTGTGAGGAAACAAGTTTCCTTTGGTTCTTTTTGGTGTTTCTTTCTATTCTAATTTCTGTATTTTTGCAAGCCCTTCATAACATGTGCTATATGTACTGTACCTTGAAAGAAAGGTTTTATTAAAATTGTGAAATAATAAAACTAAGTGCATCGCATATGTATGTGTTCTTGCGAAATCTACGGTCAAACATTTTGTACTGTACTAGTGTATGTCATGAAAATTTGTTATATGTAAAAGCTGATTTTTTCATTTTATGTAAAAGTGCAACTTGGCCATTCTGCAAGATATCACTGTGTTCCACAGAAGAAATAAAGTCATATGGGTGACAGATATGACAGATATTTAATTTTGGGTGAATTATACCTTTAATTACACACAAAGGAAACAAAACAATTTTTTACCCCAAGGCTTAGGTGTTAAATAGAATAGTTTGAAACCAAGTAAACTACTGTTCAAAAGGTTAATAAGATCATTTGTATTTTTTGACATTTTGAAATAAGTTTATGCTCACCAAGGTTGTATTTATTTTTAAAAATACAGTATACACAGTAATTTTGTGAAGTAGTTTTACAATTTATTTATATATTTTTGTGATTTATTCCTGTGATGGCAATGCTGCATAAATGTCTTTACTGTCAATTATGATAAATTCAATGCATCCTTGCTGAAAAAAAATAAATAATAATATTTAAAACAATAGCAACAACTTTTGAATGGTAGTGTAAAAAATATATTTTTTAAAGAATATACTATATTCTGGATGATGCTTAAAATTATTCTAGGCCATTAAAGATGTGACAAACGATTTTTATTAAAGGATAGTTAATGTGGCGTGAGCTGTGTTACTCTGAGCTCTAGGAGTGGTGCACTGTGATGTAAGTTGTGACAAACTGTCCTTGTTGCACCAACTATCTAAAAATAGTCTTTTTAAAGACGTCAGAAAACTGCCTACACAGAGCAGTTAACACTTTCAGAATCCATTAATTATTTGAGTTGAGAGACTAGCTGACTTTCGATCAGGATTACATATGGTTCATTTACACAATCAGCTAAGCTAATTTTTAAGTAACCCCTAACTGCCATGTTTTGCATTCAACTCGTCTTTGAGAGATGCTATTTTTTTCCCCCCTGACCAAGTACATCGTTTTTTCTTGTTCACGTAACTGGAGTTTACCTACCTTGCATCAGTCTAACATCATTCAAACCTTGCTTCATCACCTTTGCATAGGGAAGTGGTGGGTTACACAACTGATTTACTGGTATGTGGTATCTGGAAACCTGACCCAATATGTGCCAGTCATGTGATCTGGGCCGCACTTTCTGAACACTTCCGTTCTCCAGCTGGTCTTGTGTAATGTGTTACATTCTTGCTACGCATTGACTTTTAACCTACAGAGTAGTATCAGTTTGACAAACATAGCACAATTAAGAGCAACTTGATTTACGACAGCAAGTTTGACACTGACGCAAGCAAGCGTACAGTAAACTGAACCTGAGCAATTCATTTCGACTGAAAAAGGAATCTGATGAATAGATGCAATGGTCACGCTAACTACAGCAGGACAAAAGAAAGGCTTGGATGGCTTTTGTTGGTCTGTAATAGGGAGTCACGAAGGCCACTGAGTCCAGCGTGACCCTGCTGATCTGAGAGGTGTATGGTGTTGTCAGGTCAATTCTACTAGTCCTCTCTGCTTTTCCAGAAACCTCTAACAGAGTAACCCGCATGACTACCATGTTGTGTTCAAAAATACTTTTATTACAACACAAAATTCATTTCGCATTTGAATATAATAGTATCAAAAGTTTTTACATAAATACTTCTTTAAATTAATATAAATAATTTAAAGACCACAAAAGAACAATTAACTTGTGTAAAAAAAAAAAAGTTCTTACAGGATACTGTGAATGCATAGTTTTCATCTCAGTGGTTTAGAAGCAAGTCCCTTTAAAATAATCTATTTTCCAACATTAATAAGTACTTATAGCATACTATTAAAAATGATGGGGCAGCCTCTTTGAAAAATATCACCTCTGATATTGTGTTGCCTGAGAAATATTTCATCCTGTAATTAACTGAAGTGCTTTATGACACCCCACCAATAAACTATCTCACAAGATTCTCAGGCGCTCACTTCCATTCACAATTAGCTTCCTGTGACGTCCTCAAAAAGTCCCACAAACAAAGCCAAAAACTGCTGAATCATCTCAAGATTGCAAAAGGGTGCTCCTCCTCCAGTTCATTCTGTAGGTTAGTCCCTAGTTCCACCAGTCTGGACTATCAGTCCTTTTTGTGACCACCTTTTTTAGCTTTTATCATTTTTACTAGATATTTTTTATCCATGTTTTTCCCTTGTTTTTAGCTGTCCTCATCGTTCTGGAAGGTTAATAATGGGCACCCATTGATCCATACAGCGACTCTCTCTGCAGAAGCGGTTCACTTTTCCCAAAGCTGGGTTCTTCCATGTGGATGCATGTGGAACCTGTGAACATCAGAAGAAGAGATGGGATTACATTCTGTTTGTGTTTGCTACTGAGTGTCCTTCTAAGCATTGAGCATTGTCCTTTAGTCAGCCTTGTCTTTGGATGGCACCCATATGATTTCAAATATTTTTTGTGAATTATGAATCTATAAACAAACCATAAACACATTATTTTTTTTCCCCTGGATGTGTCCTTGAACAATTTAGAAATCCCGGCCAGGACATGTCCAGGAAAAAGAGGACCTATGGTCACTCTACATAAGTAGGAATAAAAGTGAAGTCAAACTGCAGTAGAGGACCATGAATTTAAATGTCCGAGGGGATTTTGAGAGTATGCAAATCTTACTAAATGCATCCTATGAAGTATATAAAACCTTTTGAAATAATATTAGAATGATAAATACTGAGGCACCTGTTCATTTGATTCCAATGGAGAAAAATAAATGAAAATAGGAGCCTGGAACATTAAGTGAAGAAACTCCTATTTGCATAATGAGTACAGAGCAGGATGTGCACTTGGGTGTCAGTCAATGGCAGTTACACCTGGACATGTCCTGACAAGTTACTAAAAGAAGTGGCTCACGAGCAGGGTACTGGCTTATTTTGGCTTTTGCTTCCTATTTAGATTCTAATCCCAGGTACAATTATTGTTGACACTTACAGTGACCAGAATGCAGTGCAGATCCATCTGCTCGCTGCCGTGCATGCCGGCGCCCCCGAGGATGTGCGCGAGGCGACGCGTGTTGTTGACGCGCAGGATGTTGATGTCATTCTCGCAGCAGAAAGCCTGAATGAGAGTGAAGTGAATCTGAAGCGCCACATCCTTCACATCATCGTCGTCTGTGGCCAGGATGCACAGCACCACGTTATCAGGGTCCCTAAATAGAAGAGTTGAGATTTGAGTTAGTTTCACTGCACCTGTTGAAATGACATTGAAAGCCAGTAACACTGACAGACAGCCTCTAAACGTACACATTGAGTGACTTTGCAGCCTCGTATACCCCAACTGTAATACATCCCTGCGGTAATGCGGAGCGCAGAACCTCCTCCAGAGCTTTAATCACAGAATCCATCCTGTAGAAACACAATTCGGATAAATGATTAAGTAATAAAACATTAATAAAGTCCAGAACGTTGACGTTTTTGAATGGTGACAGCTCGTGCAGTTTTAAACTGCGTCGGTTGAAAACTATTACAGTAATTTGAGTAATGTAAGTTACTCACTGCTACTTTAAGTGTTTGGGTGAGTAATTTGCCTGCGTTCCTCTAATATAAGCAGATCAAATATAAGCAAAACGTATTTTGCTAAACTTTAAAGACCTGCTAAAGTTCGGCTGTTTAATAGGCACGTCACAGCGCGCGAAGGGTCTCGTGAGAGACTCGAGTCTCGTGAGCTGAGCTCGTGCAGCTGACACTTTACCCGGCATATGAGTTTGCTGTCTTTATTTCACATGTTTCACAATAAACAGAAATATAACTCGTTATATTAGAAAAAACACTAAATATACCCTTTTTTCTGGATTCGCACATTATTCACTTATTGGTAAAATTACTCTAATAATGTTATATGGCTTAATTGCCGAATAAATGCATGTTGACATATTTACCTTTCAATAGAGTAATCTCCATTAAGTTCTTCAAACGTCATGTTGCACCTAAAATCCAGCACGGACTTGAATAACTTTCCTTTGAAAACAGAGTAAATCCAGCAGTGTTCTCGCAGCTCTTCTTTCTCTGACTGTCATCTGTAAATCTGACGCTGCTAGGAGTTACATTACATTTAATTTCCCCGAGAGCTGTGATGAGAGCAATATCTGCATAATAATCCTTATTGGACACATGCAAATCAAGATAAGTAAAAAACATTTTGATTGGCTGTCACTCTGTACTCACAAAAGTCGGCCATTCTCATTCGTCCGTCTAAATTGGCAGGGGCAGGGCGTAGCCAGTCACGTTGGGTGACGTTGTTTTAACCTTGTTGGAAAACTTTGCAGTGGCATGTCAGGGCAAAGGGAAGCAGGGGATTTACCTAGGCCTGTCACGATAACAACTTTTTGTTGTGCGATATATTGCCCCAGAAATAATTGCAATAAGCGATATTATTGTCATTTTAAAAACCATTTTATGCCACTGCATATATAATCATAATGTAACAGCCATCTACAGATTTTCCCCAGACCTTCTTTTCTCTGTAAATGAAGGGTGCACACTATTGCTGAAAAACACAATCACTACTTAGCAGTCAGATGTATGCACAAAGGCACAGATCCCTAAACAAGACCATATCTGAAGATTAAACCTTTTTTGTAGAAGCATTTTTAAAATTTGAACTAGCACCAACTACACCACGTTATGTACGAGAAGCTGCAAAAGACACAGGCACAAGTGGAATGTACAAAACATGGTGACATTAATTTTTAAGTAAATATAATGGGCGATATATTGCGTCACCAAAAATTATTGAGGTCATGTACATATATTGCGCGATAAGTCGATATATTGATTATTGTGACAGGCCTAGATTTACCCAACATATATTTAACCACAATAACTATTTAACATGTAAAATAATACATAAACACTTTCTCTTTGCATCTTATAAAAAATTAACAGCTTTTGAAACAGTTCAAACTGCTGCACAAGCGAAATGATGTTAGTGGTTCAGTACATTTCTGAGGCTTTTTGTAGGTACAATTGCTAACAGTTGTAATAACGTGTGACTCAATAACATGACGCAAACTGCTGTTTCTGTGCTTAAATAAATAAAACAAAATCTAATAGGTAGAAAATGTAATTTATTGTTAGGTTTTTTGATACAATTTCTGTCTGTTGTGATCTCTAACCCAACAGTGACACCCTGAGGACAAAGTAATACATTGCTCCAATATTCACTTTAGTGCATCTAATTAGAGATATATCCAGCTGACACAGTCTCCCCCAAGTCTCCTACCAAATATTCTTATTTGAAAAGACAAACCCGATAGGCTTTTTTTGTAAGTGCAGGACAATCGAGTACATAAAACACTGTGGCAAAATAAAGGTCAAATAATAAAGTGAGTGTGTCAGATTCCAGGCCACATGATTCAAGACCAGTAGGAAGCTGACAGGATTTTCGGAGGTACATTTAATTCACAATAAATTATATCAGCGATGTCTGAAATTTTATGAAAGTAACACAAGAACATTAGTAATATTTCCTAGGGTTTGTTTGCTGGGAAGCCAATGGGCCTATAACCCTAAAAAAAAGGCAAGACCATAAAGCGACATCAGACAATTAATTTATCGCTATTTTCCATCTTATTAGGGCACAAATAAAAGTTTCATGACTTTTTTTTTTTAAACATGACTTTCATTTTTTATTTTAATTTGGTATCCCAGAATATGCTGTCCCTTTTGGGGAATAAATTCAATTAAAACAATTTTAAAACATTTATTCTCTCATAACGTTTTACTCTGTCATAACTTACTGTAATTCATTGTAAAATTATGTTAATCAATAAGCATAATGTATATTTATGAATATATTAGCCAGCTTTATCTTATTTGATATGCAAATGTTTAGATATTAATTATCAACATGATCAAAACTTTGCTGATATACCTGTTGTACACAATCCACTTAATGCCCACTGATTGACATCTGATTTTTTTTTTTTTAATCAAGTGAAGTCTTTCTGTTGTGAAATTTTCCTGCCTGACACTGTCACTATTAGTACCAGGGGCGTAGCCATCATTTCAGAAGTGAGGGGGACAGAAATGTTATATATATATATATATATTAATATAACATATATAAACATTACAATATAACATTTCTGTAATCTATATAACCTACCAGTCAACAGTTTTTGAACAGTAAGATTTTTAATGTTTTATAAAGAAGTCTCTTCTGCTCACCAAGCCTGCATTTATTTGATCCAAAGTACAGCAAAAGCAGTAATGTTGTGAAATATTTTTACTATTTAAAATAACTGCTTTCTATTTGAATATATTTTAAAATGATTGCTGTGATCAAAGCTGAATTTTCAGCATCATTACTCCAGTCTTCAGTGTCACATCCTTCAAAAATCATTCTAATATGCTGATTTGCAGCTCAAGAAACATTTTTTAATAATTATTATTATTATCAATATTTAAAACAGTTGAGTACATTTTTTTAGGATTCTTTGATGAATCGAAAGATCCAAAGATCAGCATTTATGTGAAATAAAAAGCTTTTGTAACATTATACACTATACCATTCACGTCCCCCGCGTCCCCCGCGTAATCTACGCCCCTGAAGTACGTACTATAGAAAGTTGACACAAACTTCCTGGAAAAATCCATGTATTGTTGACATCAAACTAAATTCAGTATAGCTAACTAAATGATTAATCAACAAATGATTAATTATACATTTTCATTTAAGAGTATTAAGAGTATTATTGAACTGATTTTCTAAAACAGCCAACAAAGTCTAAAGTCTACAGTATAGACCCCAGAGTCTATATCTTAAAAAAATCTTGATAAAGGCAACGTATCCTCTGATATACAAACATTTACAGACATAATGAAAAATGTAAAAATTAAATTCATACATAAACATATTTCAACATAAACAAAAGCTAACACTAAACAACAACTTTATACATGCTAGTTTCCTCCAAATATTATAAATATGTGAAATACATCAACTTTTATCTAAAGGTGAGTAGCCTACATTTCCCACTACAGGTGGCCATGTTGTTTTAAATGCTGCCTGTAAGCTGTATGAACAAAGTCACCGGATCTAAATATTCACAACAAACACCCCTTTAAACATGAGACCAAGAAATTAGACACTTTTACTGCATCTCCCCACAACCTCTCAACTGTTTGTATCCCCCAGCTTTTTAGGGTTAAATAAAATATCATTCCAAATTTGAAGTAAAAAAAACCTCCTCTTTTTTTGTAGCAATGTCATAAGTAGCTAATTTCACAGAATAGTGTAGTTACCTATTTTAAATAATTAATTATGTATAAACTGCCCCTATGGGCTAATTAAGTCACCAGAATTGAAGTGAAGTTGTGTGCTTGCTTGTATTCTTTCAATAAAACAATTTTAGTGAACGGCTGAGAATATCTGGTTGATTTGCAATTGAACAGCAGATGGCGTCAAAACCTTACCAAATGAATAGAGAACACTTGAGCATTGTCGGAGCATGGAATGAAGAGAATCGCGACCTATGAAGGTCTTTAACGCATTTTTGTCAGGCAACCTGAATGAATTATGCTGATTAATAAACATTGACGTGACATCAGACGTGACATAACATGAATTGAATAATGTCAAAAAAAAAAAAAAAAAGAAAGAAGGAAGGAAGAAGAGAAAGCACTACCAAATGTAACACATATCTATAATTAGCTAATAATTAATATAACCAATATAATACAACTAATAATCAATAAACTAATAATTAATCATTTGTGCACTCTACCAGGCATGATTGTGTATCAAGATCGTATGTTTGTATTTTACAAATAATGTCTCATGTGAAGGGGTTTTCTGCATGTGTAATATTCATTTTAAATACTTAACAGATTATACAGCTATAAACCTTATCTAGAAATGCATTATTATATTTACATGTTATTATTTACTCTAATTACAATCACATTTCAGAAATGGAATAAAACGTATTTGTAGCATTGCTGACATTATCTGTAATCATTTTAATTTGCTGTCATGTCATTTGCTGTCACATAATTATACACCTATAGTCTGTAGGTCTTGTTGCTCTAGTTTTGACTGCAGTCAGATTAGAGTTTAGATTTGTTTTAGTCATTCAGATGTTAAAGCACCTTAAAATTGGAATCAAAGCATCTCACAAACAACTGTATTTTTAATTTTGTATTTTAGTCATGTATATTTATTTTTCTGTGAATAACCCATTTTCTTACTTCATTAATGTATTTTAGGCTGAACTTTTATTACAGGTATAGCTGTAATTAAAATCCCTGTTAAAAATGATCAAATAAAAGAATATTATGACATTTGAAATGACCTGTTTGATAAAAGGAAGATATATTTCCGTATTGTTTTTCAGTTTTCATTTTCATTCTTAATACCATTTATTGTACTCCCACATTTATTCAGACATATTGGTTACAGAGAAAAAAGCTTATAAAATAATATAGTGAACAGACATATGTGTCAGATGTGTAAGTTTTTACTCAAGATTTCATAACAGTGTGTTTTACATTGTGTTGTCATCATGATAAATAGGGAGAAAGATGGATCTCTAGTGAAGGTGGCGATGAATCCTTGTCAAACTGAGTGAATGTACAGAAGGTGACAGACAATACTGATACCCCACTGATAGAAACAGCACAAACAACAAGCCAACTGCTGAACATGATACAGCGGGAGGCTGATAAAGGTGGCCACTGAATAATGCCACCTAAGATATGTCTTTGTAATGGACTGATTGCTCAACTAATTCACCAGCTCACCCAGCGCCACACTCTTTAATATAGAGACAGTCATATTTCCTCTAAGATTAGTATAGACACTGGCTGACACACTACTCTGCTCAAGGTATTTGGCCAGCATAATTCATTCATAATGCCACAATGCACCCCATCTATCATTTTATTTCCTTTCCCCTGCCAGTTCTGTCCCTCTCCAATTCACATCTAGGCTCCTGGCTCTTTATTGAGGGGGGTGTGCTGGGCTGAAAGTGCACGTGTGTGTGTGTGGGCAAGTGTGCTTGTTTTGGTAGCAGTGGTAGAGTTGTTG